AAAGCGCTTTCTTGACCCATTCTGAACAAACAGGCGACTGACTGGTCAGGCTGGGAAACGGGGAGCACTGTTCCCAATCGGCCGACAGGGCATCTTTGCCCTGGGGACTGCTTCTTCCTTTCTCAGTCCATCAGTTTTCTCCCTGCCATTTTTGAAGGGTCAGATCGGTCAACTGCAGATGTGTGCACATGTACGTGTGGTGGTCTTTAGTCAGTTCACTGTCTGTCTGTCTGTCTGTCTGGAATACTCGAGTGCTGGAACCAGGTTGAACTCAGAAGTACTAATTCTAGAGAAGTCAGTGAGTGATATGTAACCTAGGGATTTAAGAAGTGTAGTTGTTTCTGGAACTTGCTAGACAAAGTTTAAACGAAGATTTCTTATCAGAAAGTTACCCACAGAGAAAGCAGAATTCTCAATCTAAATTTCTTATTAGAAGAACATTAATGGTTATTAACAGTTGTAATTCTTTTGAACTTAAGAATCTGTACTATCTAGAAGAGCTGTGGAGCTAGAGTCTGAAACTAAAGTGAAATAAAGTTCAGAGAAAGCAAGGCTTTATCTTACAAGCCTCAGCCAATTGTAATGAGGAATTTAGCTGTTTTACAAACAACAGAGGTACATAAGCCACTAAAATAAAGTTCCCTCATATTCATAAATAGTTTTCTTATGTTTCCATAAACATTGACAGTCCAAGTGCTTTTTTCTATGCTAATATCAAAGTTTGGTAAAAACTAAAGGGCTTTTTCTGTGTCTGAAAGTATGCTTGTATTCTTGTGGAATTGGTAAAAGTATCTGGTGTAGAAAGCTTATGATTGAAAATAACTCAGGGACAAGAACAATTGAAATTAAGCCAAAGGTTTTATCATGTTTTATATTAATTGGTGGTTCAAGGGTTTTATGCTGTTATATCAATGTATATATTTGTATCTGCATTGGATTATAATATTCGACCTAGAAAATCTTGTGAGTTGAAATAATGTGGTACATAAAAACAGGTTCATGTTTATTTTAAAATATGAGTCTCTAGAGTTATAAAGTTGGTTGCAAAACTTATCCTACCAGTGTTTGATTGATCTATGAGACTTTTGGTAACTAAAATTTCTAGAGGTACTTAGCAAAAATTATAATTGATCTCAGATGTGAGCATTGTGCCTTGGTAAAAGTTTGAGATATGAATGGAGAATTTCATGAAAAATGTGGGAACTTTTACTATTAATCAGCCTGTCCAGTATATGAAAATATATGCTATTATGGTAACTGCCAAGCTTTGTCTCCAGGTATCGACCTAGTCCTGACCTTCAGAGAGCTTAGTACTTAAGGGTGAAATCCTTTCTGTTTCATGGTAATCTATAAGTGTTTTAATCTTTTTGTATTTGTGTTTTCCTGTAAATCAGAATTTTAAGATGTCTCCTGGTTAATTTCTCATGTAAAGTGATCTTTTGCCCAGTGGATATACCTTGTAAAAGCTTTAATTGTGAGCATTTTTAAGGCATTTTGAATATCTATGCAACTGATCTAATGCTTTTGAAATAGCACTGCAGAGAACAGTTTTGTCATGTTAAGTGAGATGGTTTTGAAACGAGATGAAGGAAAGTTACAGGACAGAATGAATGTTAAGGAATGTGCAGAAGGTTTGAGGTTGTTTTAAAGAAAAGGAACTGGTCAAATTGTTTATAAGAAACTCCTTAAATCACATGCAGAATTATTCTAGTACCTTTTTGTAAGATCTATGGGAAAGATACTGGACGGATTATCCGGACTCCTGTTATAGTGCTCTTAGATATTTGAATTTTTCAAAAATTGCAGGAAATCAAGAGTTTTCGACATGGGATTAAATTAGACATGTTAAACTGTACACTGGACTCCTGGTACAGTGCTCTTATTAATGAGAAGTTAAAGTTTTTCCATGTGGGATTGAAAACATGTTAAACGGTATGCTTTATTTCTACAGACTTTAGCTTCTCTGACTAGGACCCACAGCAAACAGGTGTATTACATCTCTGTGAGTAAAGTGAAATGCTTGCTTTTCTCTTCTTTTGTACCTTCAGTATGTTTTTTGATGTTTCATGGCACTATGTTGGTTTGCATAAATCCAGATAAGTCTTTCCTCTCTGTAATAGGGTCTACCCCTTATGCAGACAGGAAAAACAAACTATGGGACCCCAAAGCCCTCTTCCAGGGAACAGTCAGGGGATCTGTCTAAATGACAGGAGCAGGGATTTAACAGGTACTGTTTTCAAGTACCCTACAAACCTCAGGGCGACCCTAGAGGCAGGCTGGCTCGAGGAAAGAGTGGAAATCATCACTGCTACGGAGAATGAGGAATCCAGGACTCTGTAATGACTAACTCAGTCTGGGCCTTCTCTCAGCGTCCAGGAAAAACCTGGAAACCAGGATTTCTCCCAGCCCTGAAGAAGGGATGGGATGGATTCCTTTCTGCCAGGACATCTCTGTGGAAAATGAGGCCCGAAGGCTCGAGGCCATCCAGTTCGTCGTGGGACATCTTATGGCCAGGCCTGGGTAACCCTGACGTGCCAGATAAGATTAATGCCACGATTGGTGTGTCTCCTGTCTTTAGCCAATCCCCAGGACTTCTCAGTAAATAATGGGGTATCCCAAATGGAGAGTTCTTTAATCTTACTGTGCTTATGCAAAAGAACAAGCCAGGTTTGTTAAGCTATCTTGCAAAGTTTTAAAATGAAGGTGGAGAGAAAACCATGTTTCTGCAACTTGCTTTTTTGTAAGAATCAGATTCTAATTCTACAGAGGTGATTGAATAAATGTATTTAATCTTGATCTAAAAGGTACCCCTCGTTGGGAAATTTAGATAAAACTTGGTTTACTGACTATAGGTAAACAGCCTAATGTATAAAGGAACTCAATGTTATGCATGCTGTCACTAGTTCGATCAGAGCTTTACTAGGGTGAAGCTCATCTCAAAGTGCAGAATTGCTTTCCCCCAGTCTGTAAATTGGCCAAAGTGTCAAGAAAGGGCATCTAAACTGGTTAAGTTAGAATGGATTAATAGCTTGTTCTAAAATACTGTGAATTTTCTTTCTATACTTTTTGTATTGAATCTCATTTTCTGTGAACAGTTGTTTGGAGAGAACAAGGATGTTAACAGCTCTTAATTTTTGTTGCATCATGGGATTAACACCAGAGAATATTTCCTCTAAGCCAGAATGCTCTGCAGAAGAGGAACGATGGACATTGGAGGTTTCCAAAAGGAAGTTGATGGATTTACCCAACAAGGAAAGTTACTAACTCCTGGACCTATGCAGTGGAATATTATTAAAGGGTCATGCTTTAACACTAGTGAAAACCATCTTCCATGGGAAGGAACTGAATAGCAAGTAAGGTAGAAGTAACTCAGAACTGTGCTTTCTGTGCCATTAATGAACCTAGAGGAAATCTTGATCCTCCTCTCCTAACACCTGTTCAGCATCAAAGAACTTAGAGGAGGATCACAGCTTGACCTTATGCAAATGATCAAATGCTCATATATTCAAGGTATAAATAGCTGTTAGTTTTTATTGATAGCTTCAGTGTATGGAAGCAGAAGCTTTTCCAATCTGTACTGAGAAAGCCAGAAAATGGCTTGGTGTTTCTGTGTCCAGTAGAAAAATCTGGACACAAGTCATTTTTCGATCAACCAAACCTGTTTGTAGAGTTAATCCTTTTCATTGTTTTAATGATAGAGATGGGTATGGCAGTATGGCATGTTGCTTTGGTTTCTGTTGCTTTAACTCTTGTTTTTTAAGACAGCAAACAACATTGTCCTCACTGGGTCAGAAAGGAACTTCTAATCCTTCAGGGTCTAACCATTTCAAAGTGATATCCCTCAGTCTAATCCATCTGATCTTTTCTTTCAGATAACTTCAGGAACCCAACCAATTCATTGCCTGGGGCCCATTATAAACTAAGGTAGTTTGAGATTTCCCCCTTTCACAGGCAGGGTCTGCGCCCCTTGTCAGCATGAAGCAGCTTCAGAAGATAGACCACCGACCAATTTCCCCTTAAAGATTTAAGGTGGTGAAATCTCTAGGGGGGATATGATGTAGGCAGGTAGACAGGGAGGGCCCCCTCCCGAGGCAATGATAAGAGCCAGCCCTGCAGAAAATAGCAAAACAGGAACTAGGGCTTGATAAGACCCTCACCTGGCTCCAGCAACAGACCCAAAGAAGCTCCTCTAGGAACAAAAGGCCAGGAAAGGAATTTCAAAGAAGACCATCACCACTCCCATCCTCCCTGGCAACCTCCTTAGCAACGGGACATTTACCTGGGAGGAAGCCCCACGTGGGGGCAGGTTGGAGGAACCCTATAAAGGCCACCTTGAACAAAGGAAGCGCGCGCATATGCTGCCTGAGCCCATGTGCTGCTTGTGCCCACGTGGCCGAGCACATGTGGTTCCCGAGCACATGTGTCGCCCGCATCTCCCCTCTTGAGATGTGTACTTTCATGCTTTCATGTCTAACTTTACTCTCTCACTCTCTCTCTCTCTCCCTCCATACCTAAAAATCCTCCAAATAAAATCTATTTACTTCACTGCTTGTCTACTCCTGAAATTCCTTTCTGCGAGGCAAGACAAGAACCCAGCAACCCTGGGTCCTGAGTGGCAGAGGTGGATGGGGAGAAAGTGACTGTCTTTCTCCTCCCCGCTTCACATAAGTCACCTGTGGGGCCCACCGACATCAATACCACAGCCATTCCTTTGAGCCTGGTGCCCATTCACATGCAAAAGCATATCAGAGATGACAGTGCAGGAATCTTCATTGTTAGCATTCACAAAACATGGACTTAAGTCTGGCATCTGTATTCACTGAGAAATTCAGGCCCAATCACCAAAGACCTTTTGGTATTAGTATATGTTTGTGTGCATGTCTGTGTGTGTGTGTGTGTATTTGTGTGTCCTAATGACTCTGTACTTAGGAGTTACTCCTGTAATTCTCATGACATTATATACTCATGGTCACTTTGGGTTTTGAATTTTTATTTGTTCACTTCAGATGGGTAATGTGCCAAATATGGAGCAATATTTAAGGGAGGCATATGTCACACAAATATGTGAACACCCAGTCATAATGCTTATGAATTGGAAAAGGATCCTGGGGTTTTGAATTTTCAAAGAAGTCTTTATTTCCCTTGCTGTTTTCTTCTTCTCTTCCACAGTGACTTACTCCCAATTTTTCACCTCTTGATTACTCTGCAGATTACTCACACAGCAGACTTCACTAAGTGATCTGAGCAAGAAGAGACAACAGCAGGGGACATCACCACAATGCAGAAAATCCCAAAATTGAACTTATACTTTCACACCCCGAATGCCCCCAGCTAGCATCACAAAGAATTTTCTCATAAGCTGTCATAAGGAGGGCTCCCCTATCTTGTTCAGTTTCAACCATCTCTTGTCTAGTCTCTCCACTTCAAATGCACTTTTTCTTACTTTGTATGCAGAATTTTCCAGTCTTTGACTCCATATCTGTCTTTGCCTAAGGAATCCATTAGTCTCTAAACAAATGGCTATTCATTCTTTGTCAGTGGAACAAAACTGGCAGAAACTTTGGGATTTCAGTCTTCTCTCTTTTTGTGGCCCTTTCTGACCATCTCCTCACCACTTTGATTGCAGAAGTTGAAAAGATCAGAAAAAAATATTGGGAGGGCTTTTCTTTGAGAGAGCAGAAGTGGCTCTAGTCGATTTGAGTTTCAAATGCATTTATTTATTGAACTCAACCAGGAACAAATAACCTTTTACATGATAATTAGAATATACAATAAGAACCACTGATGCTGTAAGAAGTGTATATCCTCTTTTCCTTTGAGTAAATGAACATAAATAGGAAAGTAAACCAAGCTTTCACTCACCTTTGCTGCAGGAGATAATGGCAGGTCTAGAGCTTACTTTCACCCTTGAGGACAAATCCTCGAATGACATGATGATTGATAGTTAAGTCTCATTTTTGGTTATTAAAGGGACTCAATAGAGCATGTAAAGTTTGAGACATGCAGGATTCTGGCAGGAACAAAGAAAGGAGTAGATTTAGGTCAAGTCAGGCTGTGGCAACTGATACTGCTAAGGGCATCTCAGTAATTTCCAAGATGTGTCCAAAGAATGTGAGCACTTGGGCTTAATGGTCCAGGAGGCTTGCAGCCCTGCTGGCCAGGTGCACTGGTAGCTCCAGGTGGAACACAGCTGATAGGTCAGGCACAGCTGAACACATCTGACCTGTATCTTCCCAACAGAATCATAGTCACTGACTATGGGAGCATAAGGCAGCCACTAATGCAGCAAAAGGAGGATATCAGGCTTGCCCTAGAGTGAGCTGACTAATTGGTCAGTACGTCCAGGAAGACTGGGGTAAAAATGTATCTCAAAATAGTATCACTGTATCACTATTATCCCGTTATTCATCAATTTGCTAGAGCAGGCACCAGTAACGTCTCCATTCATCCCAGCCCTGAGATTTCAGCAGCCTCTCCTTACTTATCCTTCCCAACGGTGCCTTTTTGGAGGCTCTTTCAGGGTCAGGGGAATGAGGCCCGTTATTTCTGTTTTGGGCATATCAAATAAGCCACAGGGAGCTTGCCAGGCTCTGCCTTCCAGGCGGGATACTCTCGGTAGCTTGCCAGGCTCTCCTAGAGGGACAGAGAATGTACATGAGAGAATACAAGCAAGTATGTTCAAAACCAAACATGTGTGCTGCTTTAGGTACATCAGTGGGCTAGACTATAAGAGGTCTATAAGAGCTTCCGGGAGCTGTGTGGAGAGTGACCTTGAGCAAGGCTGTGGCTGGGTTCTGGAGGTTTTTGGCTGCCAGGGTTCTGCTTGGGGCCGAAAAGGAAACTCCACCCACCCCCTTCCAAGGGGCCTCAGTGAAGACAACCTGGTGCGGGGGCAGGAGATTCTGCTTCTGTCTCAAAATAATCACTTGATCACTTGATCACTTGACATCCCATTACTCATCAATTTGCTCGAGCAGGCATCAGTAACGTCTCCATTCATCCCTGTCGTGTTCCAGTGTTGCCCAATGGCATCTGCTCATTCTAGGAACACAAACAGCCTCAGACCAATCGTTCAGGGTCTTGAAGTAAAAGTCTGACCATCTCCTAGGTGGGCGGCCCACGATCTTTTGACGTCCTGTGGAATCCAGTAGGTAATGGCTCTAGTCCAGCAGTCGCCTCCAAATCTCATTACATGTCCAGCCCATCTGATTATGGTCTCAAAATAATAATTAGAAAAAATTCAACCAGTACACTTCATGGATGCCTGCCCCTTGTCCCTACCCCTTGTCACTTGTGGAGGACAGTTGAGAACACAGTCTAATTCTGGGAGGAGTCTTTATCTGCTAATTCAGTTCTTTCCTTTTTCATGAATAGTTCAGGAACAGCCTTGTGGAAGTGGGAAGGCCAAGGCCCAGGGATCACTGAACACTGTTTAGTGCACACTGGGCTCGGGAGAACCTGGCTTCCCTCCTGGTGTGAGAAAGGCTGTGAAGAACAGCATTCCCAGATTCCCAGTAGAAAAGTGAAAAAAGCATGCCTGGTTTCGAGACTATGTCTTTTCACAAATGCATCATGGAACTGGGTTTTAGGACAATGAATTGATCCCAAATTAAAAGAGAGACCAGTGGCTGCAAAATAAGTCAAGATGCAAACACTGACTGACTTATCTGCAGCCGACACAGCTAGGACACCAGTTGATAAATTGGTGGAGGTAGTAAGAGCAAGGGAGGGAGGGAACTGTAACTTTTTTGAGGGTTGAGCTTAAAGATAGGGAAGCAAAGTATAAGAACTTCTTTTTTGAGGGGCAGGGAGGGGAGCATACCTGGTGGTACTTGTGGGTTACTAATGGCTTTGTACTTAGGAAATTCTCCTGGTGGTGCTCCAGGGACTATATTTGATTCCAAGGATTGAACCCGGGTCAGCCATATGCAAGGCAAAGCCCTACCCACTGTACTCTCTCTCCAACTTCGTACATGGACTTCTTGAGGGCTAAAAAGTCCTGGCCAAGAAAAAAACAAATGTAAAGGCCCTGAGTTGGGAGTGACTTGTTTGGTGAGAGGAGTAAGAAAGATGTGGGTTTGACTTGAGCAGAACGAGGAAGGAGTAGAGTACTAGGAGATGAGTAGATTACTTAGATTGGTAGTGGGGTGGGGTGGCTGAGGGCGTAGGTTGTGTAAGGCCAGAGTGATTGAGTGAGCTTTGGCATTTGTGGGAGTAAGACAAGAAGCCACAGGAGGATTTTGAGCAAAACTGATACAACATGACCTTTAGTTTAAAATGAACCTGAAAATAGTTTGGCAATTCCCAGTAAAGTTCATATTACACTTACCCTATAACCTTGAGCATTTTTCATAGAGAAATGGGGACTTGTGTTTGCACAGAATCCTGTATATTATGTTCATGGCAGCTTTATTTGTAAAAGCCCCAAACTGGAAACAAGCCAAATGTCCCTCAGTGCTCAGTGGTTCAATGGAAAAACAAACTTTGGTGTAGTCAGACAATGAAATACTACTAAAGAATAAAATGAAATACTACTAAAGAATAAAAAAGAATAAAATGTAGTGACTATTAAATACACTTGTGTTTGGATGGAGCACAAGAATTTTATATAAAAGTGAATCTCAAAGGTTTGATTAGGTCTCATTCCATTTTTATATGCTCAGCTTGGTAGTATTATAGTGATGGTGTGTGAGTGTGTGTGTGTGTGTGTGTGTGTGTGTGTGTGTATGAGAGAGAGAGACAGAGAGACAGATTTAGAGATAGACATACATATAGAAAGAGATTTTAAAGGAGCAACAAAGGATTTCTAAACTTTATTTTAGAAAACACTTGTGTAGGGGCTGGAGAGATAGCACAGAGGGTAAGGCACTTGCCTTGCATGTGGCTGACCTGGGTTAGATTCTGGGCATCCTTTTTAGTCCCTTGAGAACTGCCAGAAGCAGTTCCTCAGGGCAGAGCCAGGAGTAAACCTCTGAGCATTGCTGGCTGTGGCTCAAATACAAAGAAAAAGAAAAGACTTATTGACAGAAATGTAAATGGTTATGTTTAGGGGGTGCAATATTACCACTAAAGTGGCAATACAAATATTGTTCACCTTGACCCCTTGAATATGAAACCTTTTTTTAAAATTTAATGATGATAGGAGAGTTCTGATTAGGATGATCATTAAACATTACTAAGTATAATAAACATATTACAAACTTACAGAAAAATGAGTGCCTGCAAAAAGTGGTGAAAACGATCTAATAAGGTCTTCAGTTGAGTTCATTGTATTGCGTCATCATGCAGTTTACTTGTTTTATAATATTCATGAGCATTAACTTGTTTTATGATATACATGGGACTCCACGCCAGGATGTGGGGTGAGTGAGAGCCCTCCCCACCCCATGGGACCCAGTCCCGGCAGCCGACCTCCACTGCCCAATCACTGCCACACTCCAGGCTGCTTTCTGGACACGTTATAAGATACTTCCTACCCATTTATGCCTCCCAGAGAGCCTGGCAAGCTACCGAGAGTATCCCGCCCACACGGGCAGAGCCGGGCAAACTCCTCATGCTGTATTTGATATGCCAAATACAGTAATGACAATAGGTCTCATTCCCCTGACCCTGAAAGAGCCTCCAATTGTTGGGAAAAGATGAGTAAGAAGAGGCTGCTAAAATCTCTTGGCTGGAAGAAATGGAGATGTTACTGGCGCCTGCTCAAGTAATTTGAAGAGCACTGGGATGACAGTGATACAGTGATACAGTGATGATACACATGAGCATTGTAATATACATGTGGATTAAGATGGCATTAATATTGGGAGAACTAGGGGTGGTACGCAAAATTTCCATTAGTTTTGCCAAGTTCTTTTGAGTCTAAAGTTACTTAATTTTTGGTTTGGGTTTTTTTTTCTTTTGGGGTCACATCCAACGATGCACAGGGGTTACTCCTGGTTCTGCACTCAGGAATTACTCCTGGTGGTGCTTGGAGAACCATATGGGCTGCTGGGGATCAAATCCAGGTTGGCTGCATGGAAGGCAAATGCCCTAGCCGCAGTACTCAGGCCCCAAGTCTAAAGTCATTTTTAAATAAAACGTTCTTGCTTTATTTAAAGGTCT